GTCTGCAGTGTCGCTGCTGCTCAATATAAGGGCCTGCTTGTTTTAGCCGGGCAGCTGTGATGCCCTTATTGCCTTGAATGATCTTGCTGAGATTACACATTCTTGGTGTGCACTCCTGGCACCCTTTCACTTGTCCCACCCAGGAACAATCCCTCTCCCCACCTGCCATGATGGGGCAGCACAGCAGGATCCCAGGATTCGTGGGTTAACAATGCAATGCAATTGCAAAGAAAGCAAGTGCCATCCTAGACTGCAGCAACAGAAGCAGAATGTCAAGATCAAAAGTTGATGTTGCTTCTCTCAATTTTGCATCGGTCAAAGCAGACTTAAGTCTGGGCAATATGTTGTAGGAATCTTAAAACCACAGCCATATCTAGTCCAACATCCTGCATCCTGCTTGGTCCAGGAGAGTTTCTCTGATAATCTCTCTAAACCTCTAGTAAAAGAGGTTTACTGCTTTCCTGTGGCAGTCTGTTCCGCTGGCTGACATCTGATGCCATGCTGAGGCTCCTCCTGATGTTTAGCCGGATCCTCCTTTCTTGCAGCTTCCCCCCTTCACTGCTTCTGGCCAGCTCTGGGGGCTCTACAGAATAAGCCCATCCCCTCTTCTGCGGGAGAAACCCTCCAGACATGGGAAATTGGCTGTCCTCCCTCCTCCCCTGGAGGCTAAGAAGAATTTTGACTCTTTCTTCACAGCGCTCTCCTTTCAGCCCCTTGCCGGCCCACTTTGGCCTGGCTCCAATCGGCCCCTGGACTTTTGGATTTGGGGGGACAGAATTGGGCGCAGGACTCCATAGGGTACATGGAACAATTGCTCTTCCTGATCTGGATTCTATGCTTCTGCTAAGCCACCACCCCCCCCCACTCCCCCAATGTAGCTATAGCTGCTGCATCAGACTCCTGCCTGATGACTAACTTGAAGGAAAGATACAGACAAACGGTGTGGAAGCCTCACCGCCTCTCCCAATTTTGCTCACTGACAGGTCTCACCCTTTCTGATGAGAACTCTGCCAAGCACTAATTCCCAAGGACACACTCCTACGGTTCTTGTGCTCACTCTTGCTATGGTGACACAATAGTCCTATTCTTCCAGTCATCAAGCACCGATGCAAGCTTCCCCAATACATTAAATTAGCTGCAGATCCACTCTGTAAGTAAATCACATCTACTTCCCATCTTTTCTTGGATCCCGGCACTCCTAGCACTGGTTTCAATTCCACTCTTTAACAAACCCGCACCAATTCCATGCAAATCCCTAAAATCCTCTCACTTCCATTCATCCCAAATCATTTCACTTCTACTCCTCCTGCTGGAGGTTCTTTATTCAGTCATCTTCCCTCACAAAACGGTTGTTCTTTGGGTCTACCCTGCTTTGCCTCTTTTGTTCCTTGCTCTCTTTCACTATTTTTTTGGCAACATTTTCTCTCAATGTGCATATGATTTCTGTCATTCGTACATTCATACATTTTGCAGTAATCATTCCCCACTTGTTTAGAGCCCCCCTCACATCTTCATTCCACCCATGCTTTCTTTTTTTGTATTTCTCATTAGCATATCCCCCACCCGCGAGTGAGTGCTCAATAGGCCATGGAGACCATAAAAAGAAATTGGAGACAATGGGAAGAAAGCGGCTTCGCAGAAGTGGGTGCCCAGGACAAAAGGACATTGAGATGGTCTGGCCGTGCAGAGGAGGAGGAAGGATGACCAAATGTATGGAAATGGTATCAGCCACGAGAAAGTTGTTTCACCTTTCTGTGTGTGTAAATTTTCCGCCCAAGATCCACTTTTGACCCCACTAGAAAACGGTCTGCTCCACATTTAGAATGTTTCATTCTGGTACTAACAACACGCTCAGACTTTCCACATCAAATCAAATCAAATCTGCCTTTAGTTTCACGGCTTCCACAAGTTTACACATAAATCTAAAGTTCTTAATCCTGTACACCACCCGGAGTTGCAATGAAGTTGCCATGGAGTTGGGCCCCCTTACAAATCGGAGGGAGACTTATACTTAAGCCTTACATCCAAACCATACTTTTTCTAAGCAAGTACTCACCAATTACCATTCTCATTCATTTCTGGGTCTCTGAACAGCCCAGTCACCACCTGCCCATCCATCCGGTCATCATCTTATCCGATAGAATATCTCTCCCCTAAACCACATGCATTCAGAACCCAATTCCTGCCAATCCCCTTTTCTGGTTCTTCCATTATCACTGCTCGCTGGAAGGTAATAATGTGCAATTGTCACCCACTTACTATGGATTCTTACAGTCCATAGTTTGACTCTTTCATTCATAAAAAAAGTTACCGGCCTGTATTCATCAGTTCCATCCATTAACGTTCCCCTTTCTCTCCCCAAGGAGCAGCATTTCTATATTTTATTTCTTTCATTTGGTAATTGCTACTGAATGCCATTTACTTCTTCCACATGGCCAGCTTGCAATTTTCCTGGGTACCCAGTCCAGCACCTCCCCCCCCCCCCCCCCCCCCCGCCCTCCGGCTGTAGAGCCAGCTAGAGAAGGGGGTCCGGGCTGGCAGAGCGGGCCCCTTTGGCCGGGCTCCTTACCAGCAGGGAGGCCACTTTGGGCACCTTCCGGAGCCAGGAGACCGAGGGGCCAGGGAATCGGGATTCAGGTCCAGCCATAGGAAGCCGAGGCCAAGCGGCATCTTGCGAAGGCGGCCCCGACTCTCCTCCGCTTCAAGAGGGAAGGGCGGGCGGGCGAAGCGGAGGGGGAATCGTCCTCACACCGGGCGAGGCTTCAGAGCGTTTCCGCACCGCAAAAGGCCGCCCGCCGCACTCACGGCGACCATCCCCGACGGCCGAGGGGGAAGCGGAGAAGGGAGAGCCGGGGGGGGAGGGGGGCGGGGAGGGGCCCAGGGGGCTCAGCCCCACCGGAGACAGGTGCGCGGGGGGGGGGGGGGGGCGGCAGCGGGAGGGGGGGGAGGGGCGCAGCGGGGTCTCCCAGCGGGCGACGCCCCCGCCCCGCCCCGCCCCGCCCCGCCCGCGCAGAGAGTCCGTCGGGCCCACCTTGGGGAGCTCGCGGAGCTGGTTGGCGTCGAGCAGCAGCTCCTCCAGCGAGCGGCTGTAGCGGTAGACGTCGTCGGGCACGGCCTGCAGCGAGCAGTGCCGCCGGTCCAGCGTCTCCACCTGCCGGTTGCAGCGCCACAGCGGCGGCATGCAGCGAAGCATCCTCGGCGCCGGGCCTGGCGGGCGGGGGCGCACCGGGCCGCGCGGGCTCAGCGGCCGAGCCGGCGGCGCGGCATCCCGGCGGCAGGGCTCCTCCTCGCCATCCGCCGCGAGGCACTCTGGGATGCCGCCGCCCCGCCGCGGAGGACTACAGCTCCCAGAGCGCCCGGCCGGAACCATAGACCCGCGCGGCCTAGCGCGTCCCGCCGTCTGCGCAGGCTCCGGGGGCGCTCTTTCCCTGCCTCTCCGTGCCCCGCACGGCATTTCCTGCGGCCCGAGCCGAGGGTCAATCCCCACGCCCCCCCCCCCCCCCCCCGGAGGCTGCTCCGGTTCAGGCAGCCGCGGAAGGAAGGAGCCCCGCCGCCGCCGCCAAAAGAGGCGGCGTCGCTAGTGGCCGGTGCGATTTGGAGATGGTCTTCAAGGGCCTCCCCGCGTGGAGCGCACGGCAGTAGTCCAGCCGGGAAGACGGACCCGGCAAAGGCCGAGCTGCTACTCCGGCAGGATCGCCAAGCCGGGCCCGGCTCCGGGAGAGAGAGAGAGGGGGGGGGGGGCGCCCTCCTCAACGCCTACCCAGGGGGCAAGAGCCCCTAGGTGGGGCTGAGCGGAGCCGGTTCTTCCCCCTCCAGGCCTTGGGCCAGCACCACGATGGCGACCCCCCCCCCCGCCCCCCAGGGCTGGAAACTGCAGCTGGACGCTGTCTGCACCCGGCACTGGCCATCCCCGCTCTGGGCTGCCGGTCCTCTCTCCCAGCGGCCTCCGTGAATGGTGCAGCCCCCCCAGAACACAATGGGAGCCAGCCGGAGGGAGCGACAGACCTCTGCAAGATTGCCCCGCTTAACCCTCCCACACCTGGGCTGAACCTTCCCAGAGGCCTCCCTCCAGCACAACCAGCCCTTTTCCTCCATGGCCCAGGGACTCGCCTTGTCCTCCTCCGAAGGACGCCCAGACGGACACTATCTAATGGGGTCAAGCCCAAGGATGGGCTCTAGAGAAGTGGGCATATCCTTCACAAGGAAGGGTGTCCTCGTGGGATTACCTTCTCCAAGCTAGACCCTGCAGGAAGCGGGATTCTGGACCAAGCATGGCTGGAAGCTCTCCTTGTGTTTTACGTCGCTGGGGGGAAAGGGGTTCGGTGGCTCAGTGGTTAAAGACACAGAGCTTGTCAGCCTGGGTTCCAGACCCCAGCGCTGCACGACAGGGTGAGCTCTCCTTACTTGCCCCAGCATCTGCTCACCTAGCAGTTCCAAATGTGAGTAGGTAAAGAGGTAGCACTTCAGTGGGAAGGTAACAGCATTCTGTGTGCCTCGGTGTATACTCATGCTGGCCGTATGACCATGGAAATTGTCCTCAGACAACAATGGCTCCCTCGGCTAAGAAATGGAGCTGAGCACTGGCCCCCCGAGTCAGACACGAGTGGACAGGGCAAACCTTTACCTTTAGTGTGGAGGAAATATTAAGCAAAGAGGTAATGTATTGGTTTTCTTGTCTATGGAGATTCTCAGTCATCCAGTCAGAGCTAAAGAAGCTTCTTGAATGAGAAACGAAACATCTTCAAAGAAAAACCAGAAAGTCCAGTTGCCTCTTGAAAAAGCACCTTTGGGACTACTGGTTTTCTTGTTAAAACTGGTATTTTTCGATTAGTTGGAATTAATAAGGAATTAATAAGTGAAAATGCAACACCACCACCAAATTGACTGTTCTGGATCTGGTGTCTAATAATAAGTTGCCTGAGAATGGTTACCTGCCCCAACCTGCATTCACATTTTGCCCCTGTGGAGGTAAGGCTCTCGCACATAGCACAGACAACGGATGGATTTTCTTCCTGGCATATTTACCAACAACTACGTGTACAACACAGGATAATGCTGGTCCAAAAATATTCCAGAAAACATGGGGAAGGGGAGTCATTGGGGAAAATGAAAGAGAAGTCTTTGTGAAAGAGTTCATGCGGAGAGGTCACTATTATCAAATCTCTCCTGGTCATACACTTCAGCCACAACCTTCCTGCCCGCAAACCAGCGCCCATTCAGTGCCTGGATGGCTTTGTGAGTCTCTGAGGCCATGGAGAATTCCACAAAGATCTTGACAATGATCTCCGCGTCTTCTTCCTCGCCCTGCTTCTCTTGATAGATGATGACTCTGTTGACAGCCCCAAATTTGCCACACTCCTCTGTTACTTCTCCTTCCAAATCATCATCAATGTCCTTGGGGTCCACCATGTTTCGCAAAACCATCACTGTTGACTGTGTAAAGAAAGAAACAGGGAAACGTCACCTCCCAGGACTCAAGGCATTCCAGAGAATTACCTTCCAGCCAGCCTTGTTTTGTTCCATCACTGGGGTTGGAGGCTGCCCACCGTTCTTCCATGATAGGCTCAGTTTGGAGGCTAACCCTACGCAGCCCTTCCATCAGCACTGCTGAAGAACTCACCTCTTGTTTCCGGAGAAGCTTCTGCATCACCATGTGGCGGGCGCTGCTGCCAGAGATGCTCATGTGCTCCTGTTCACTGAGCATCTCTGGCCTTTCAGATTCTTGGAAAACTTCCTCCTCCTCCTTCTCCTTCTTGGCTTCTAGCAGGCCTAGTGTTGGGGGACTGGCCAAGATAGGGTTCACCACACCCACCTGGGGAATAGTGACAGGAATAGGTGGGCGAGCTGGTGTGACACCTGGAGGAAAAACACATTTTGAAGTATGTGAAAAGAACTAGTTGCCCATATGCCCTCATGCTCCACACCCAAAGCTAAACAGAATATCCAATGCATCTCAAACAAGGATGGTAATCCCACCAGGTCAACACGTGATCAACCCAGATTTAGAGAAATGGGCAATCTCTCAACTCACAACAAGCTTAGCAATCAACCGCAGGGCAGTTGTGTCAACAAGGAGCAAAATTTTCAGAAAAAAGCTCAAGACCCCTCATCCATCCTTCCACTCCACAGAAGAGAAGAGAAACAGAAAGGAGGAAGAAAAGACAAGCAGTCCTCGAGTCGCAACTGTAAGGGAGCCTGCCTATTACAGTCATAAGTCGTAAAATGGATCGGTCACTTTTTGCAGCGGTTATTAAATCGATTGTTCATTGTGATGCGGTTTTGCTGAAAACCGGAAGTGGGCAAAATAGCCATAAATGCAGCTGTGTTGCTGAGCACCCAAAGGGCGACCACATAATCACTGGGTGTAAGGGGGAGAGGGAGGGAGGAAGGTGGGAGAGCAACCATCAGAACTCAAGAGGACACCAATGGGGATGCCCAAGCAGAGCCGCAGAGGGGAAGAGGAGGAGACAGAAGCAGCCCAGGGAGAGACCAGTAACAGGTAACATCAATGAGGCCAATTGTTTCTCCATAAGATTTGTAAAGCTAGAATGATTCAAATTGCTACAGAAAATATCAATGTGGCTCATGCAATAGACTCTCCCTTGCTAGAGAATTTGTCAAAGGCTTTTGAAAGAGACCCTCCTCTAATGCTCTGGAGCCAAAACCCCACTGGATACAGAAAGTGCAAATCAAAGACCAGGAGAGAGGAGGACAAGAGGTTTTATGGTTCCCCCAAGAGCAACGACCCCCTTCGGCATTCTCCAAGCTAGGATCCTCTTTCCCACCTGGCCAGACAGGAGCCCCAAAAGGAGGTTCCCAAGCAGAGGGTCCTTTTAGCTAAGATGACCAACTCAGGGTTACAGAGCTCTACCACCTAACCGAAAAAGGGTGGGTGGGTGAGAAGAGCTCATCCTCCCTTGCTGGAGTGTAAAGCGCCACCCAACCTCGCTGGCACCAGCCGGCAGCCCTTTCGTTCCTATGAAAACTCCTCAGGGCCAGACCACCCTTTCTTTCTCCAAGGAGGATGCAGCAGCTTCTCCTCTCGCTTTGTTTCACAGACACAACAGACATGGGGAAGACAGAGAAGGCGGGGATGACATCCTCTTTCTACCCGACGGCTGGGCCAAAGGCAGAGACCTTTTCACCAAGCACCCCCACGCAGGGCAGCTCCCTCCCTCGTCCCAGACGGCAAGAGGAGGGTGTTTCAGCTGCCAAGCCACTCACCCGTGATGACGCCTGGAGCTTGAGCTGCCATCACAGCCTGTGGTAAGGCCCCCAAGGGCTGCGCTAGGGTCAGGGCTGGGGTCACCAGTCCAGGGGTGGCTAATGTGCTAAGGACAGCAGCACCCGCCACCCCTGCCACAGCTTCCTACAAGAGAAAAGTCAGCTCTGCTAGGGCCTCTGCAGCCACAGGGCTGCTTCTGTACCCCAAGGTCCAAGCGAGGAACCCCACAGCCAGGAGCTCCCCTAGAGAGAGAGAAAAGCTGTGCTGGGGGCGCCTCTTTTGGAGGTAAACAGCAATCACCTTCTGTGGGCCCACTGGAATGGGAGGGGCACCTCAGACCAGTGTTCGCCTTTGCTTGCCTGATGGTCTTGCCCAGCCCCAGAGACATCAGCTGGGCTCAACCAAGCCATGGCAGCAGAGGGAGGAGGGGCCTGCAGAGCACCTACACAAATTGAGCCCCTAGAGCCCCACTGCCTCCCCTGCCTTCCTCTCTGCTGCAGATGGTGGAAGCCTGCTGGAGCTTGCAGAGGAAAAAGGATGCGGGCTGCCCTCAGACTTGGGACTGGTGCCCCGCTGCTGCTGGTCAAGGAGAGGGGAACAGCAGGAAGGCCAATCCAGCTAGGGCAAGGGCTGCTGCCTCCTCCCCTTAGCTCAAGCCCTCTCCTCCCCCAACTCCGCTCCCCAGACCTTGCTCCTTACCTGAGCGGTGATTTTCGCCGTGGCAGCAGCTGCAGCTACGGCTGCTGCAGGGGGCAGGCCTCCCGGGGTTGCTGGGGTCAGCAGAGGCATGGGCGGAGTGACCGCTTTGCCCACACGGAGATACTGGCCCCCCAAGTCAAAGAGGTTCATGGAAGAGACGGCGTCCTGCGAGGACTGGGCCTTCTCGTATTCTGAGTGGACAGAAAGAACAACATGGAGCACTGACCGCTGGCTCTGGGTCCTCAGCAGCAGAGTAGCCAGCCCCAGGGCTCACCGATGAAGCCGTAGCCCTTGTGCTTCCCCGTGGTGGGATCCCGGGCCAGCGTGCAGGACTTGATCTTCCCAAAGGCCTCAAAGACACTCTTGATGTCGTCATCAGAAAGATCCTGGTGCACCGATGCCACGTAAATGCGGTTGAAGGCTCGAGCCTCCTCTGCCAGCTGGTCGATGATGGGCTGCGCTTGGCCAATGTTGCTGGGCCTCCCCACCTGCAGGAAGGCGACCCGTGAGGGCCTCTGGGCACCCCCGGGCCCCCAGAGCACCAGCTTCTCAACCACCTGCCAAGGGGGCACTTGGCCTAGTCAACATCCTCAGCTGGAGGGGGGGGCGGCTATCTTGTTTCTACAAGCCCATCCAACATTCTGTTAACCGCAATTCAGCAAACTGTGAGTTAACATGTTTCCCACATCCAGATTTATTCATTAAGCTACATCCTGTCTTTCTTCTTGCTGCCAATTTTATTCTTCCCACAGCAACCCCGTGAGGTAGGTTGGGATGAGAAAGTGTCAGCGGCCAGTGAGGTGAACCTGGACCTTCTCGGTCATGGCCCGGCCCCTCCATCTCACTAACCCTGGCATGACAACAGATGAGGTAGTAGGGAACCTGGGCCGCTCTTGTATTAAGCCAGTCACTGCATTCAGTTCTGATTCGTTGTTCCCACTGGGCACCCCACGTCATGGGAATACAGCAAGGAAGTTTTCTTAAGCTGGCTTTGGAAGCCCTCCCCAGGGTTCCTTGCACAAAGCAAGTTGCAAGCGCCAGGCAGGCAGGCAGGCAGGCAGGCAGACCAGCGGCCCACCCACTATGGGGGAGGAGAACCCTTTGCAGTTCAGGGGCCATCGATGGCGTTGGGCAAAGCACTCGGCCTGCTTCTAAATAAGACCTGCTGGAGAGATGATAGCAGCTGGGGCAGGCAGGCAGTCCGGCTCCCCCCCTTTATAGGACGCAAAAACAGGCGTGTGGCCACAGCCGTCTCTGGCTCACAGGTCCACATACCTTGATGTTCCGCCCTCCGAGCATCACAGAGTTCATCTGCTCCAGGGCCAGCTGAGCAGCTTCGGGGACCTCATATTCCACAAAAGCAAAGCCCTGGCCAAGGAGAAAAGGGGGCGTGAAGCTCAGGCACTCCACCCACCCCCCCTGCCCCCCCTGCCAGGTGTCACACTCACTTTGTGCTTCATGGTCACAGAGTCCCAGGACATGTCGATACTCTTGATGGGTCCAAAGGGGGCGAAGGCCTGCCGTATGGTGTCCTCTCCCAGCTCATAGTAAATGGAGCCCACATAGACCCGGCACATGATGGCCAGGGCCCGCTGCCGCTGCGCTGCCATCTGTATCAGAGAGAAGGTCTGGCTGGTCAGAGCAGGAGGGAAGCCCGGCAGCTCTCCCGTGCCCCCCTCCCCAGGAGGCTCCAGAGTGGCAAGGGGGGGTCTCCCCGAGGAGGAGCTAGCCCAGCCCACCCTTACCCTCTCCCTCGGCCAGAGGAATCAACCCTCTGCCACCCCAAAGGGTCCTTCCCCACCATTCTGCCCCCACACAGCAAGAGATCCAGATCGGGCACCTCGTCTCTGTCTTCCCCTGAAACATCTCCCACCCCAGGACGCTGCCTCTTCCTCTCGGCAGGCGCCTTTTGGGAGCAAACAATGGCCACCATGTCAACAGCCTTCTCTCAGGGCCAGGCCAGCTGGTGCAAGGGACCATCTGACACTGTCCCAAGGAGGTACAGTGGCAGGAGGTCTGCGATGACCCATTTCCTCTGCCAAAAGTCTAACCAGCCTACAATCCAGATTCACCGCTATGATTCAGTGGCCGGGCAGCAGCTCCCCTGCCTGGCAGCACAGCCAGGCCCAGGACAAGCCGCTGGAGCGCTTCTCTGGAGCTGGAAAAAAAAACAAGGCTACTCCTGTCCTCCTTAGAGGCAAACGCCCACCCAGCTGGGGATACTGGCTGGCTGTACATCACAGCCAAGAGCACCTTGGGGGCTTTGCAGCAGTTCCACAACACTTCTCATGAGTGTGTGTGTGGGGGGGGGAGGGGGACCTACAAGACTAGGAAACCTCCGTTTTCCCTGCTCCCTCTCTGGGGCACACCTGCTACTCCGTCCCTCCCCAACCCTGGAGAGAACTGCGTTGGGAGGATGCCAGGCAATGCCTCCAAGCTCAGCCTCCCTGCCAAACAATTCTGGGGGAGGGGGTGTCTCACTGCTCCCCATGAGAGATGAGGGACCCTCTGCAGGAAGAGGCTCTCTGCTGCACATCAGGACAGCCAGCGCCACTGGACAAACTCAACGAAGGGCACACACTCCCAGCGTTCAGGAGCCAGCAGAGCAAAGAGTTAGGGAGAGGGAAAATGGGCATCTACAACGAAGCCCATGGGGGCTGCCTGGCTATTTGGGCTACCTGCTCCGCCCCCGCCCCAACCCTGACCCCGACAAGCCAGCCGTCCATCTAGCATCCCAGAATCAGATCCAGGCTGAGCAGCTGTTCTGAGGTGGGCACCCAGTCGTGCTTCTCTTTCACCTGCCCCACAGAAACTAAGCTAAGCCCATCCTTCTGGTGCCAGGAGAACTCAGAGGACCTGGGTAGCCTAACCTCAGAGCTGCTCCAATGAGCCGGACTCTTCAACAGCTCCAAGAGGATCAACCCAGGTCAACCTGCCTGCCCGATGCACAGCAGGAGCTGGGGCCCTGTGCAAGATCCACCAGCACATTACGGGGGACCTCTGGCTCCTGCCTGGGTGCGCCACACTGCTAGCATTCAGGTGGAAGAGTGGGGGCACCTCTCTCCCGGGAGAGGGCGGGGCCTGCTCCTGCTGGCTTGGACTTCATACGCTGGCTCCAAAAGCGAGGGACCTGTGCCCTGGCAGGCAGGCCCCGCGGCCACCACCTTTCTGCCCCAGTACCAGCCAGCAGCCCCTCTTCCTAGCACTCTTCCACTCGTCTAGGAGAGCCGGCCAAGCCCCAGCCCCCAGCCCCCAGCCTCTAGCATCCCGCGCTGGCCCCCTGGCGAGTTACCTTGGCAGTTACTTTGAGGCCAAAACCTCAGCATCCCTAGAAAGGCAGTTCTCCCGCTGCTTGAGACTAATGCTTTCTTTCTCTCTCTTTCTTTCTCTCTCTCTCTCTCTCTGCCCAGTGCCTCCAGGGATCCCAGCTGCCCCCAGCCCAAGGTCTTCCACTGGGAGCTTACACTTGGCCTTGGCTGGGTGGGGGTGGGGTATATCCAGAGCAGGGGGGTGGCAGGAGAGGGAGGCCACAGCTACGTCCTCCCCCAGGCTAGGCCCTGACTAAGACCCAGTGCCCAGAAGAAGTGAATGTGTCTATTGACCGATTGTAAAGGTGAGAGAGGATCTCCAAAGCCCATTGTCACTGCTGCCATCTGAAAGACAGTAAAGACAGAGTTCAGTCTGTGGGAGCTGAGCACACTACCATGGGGTTTGTCAAAACTCAAGCGGGAGAAAGAGGCCTCGCCTGCCTGCCTGCCTCTGCCTCCTCCTCGGCGAACATCCCCGGCCGACCCTGGGCAGCCAAGGCAGGGAGGTCCAGGACAGTCTTTAGCCCTCAGCAGACCACTAGCTATAGGGACAGCCCCCCCACCCCCACCCGCAGCAGCCAGAGCTGCCCCAAGGGCTTTGATCTTCCCCACCCCCACCCCATCCTGTAACTCCTCAGGAAGAGGAGCTTGGACAGCAGCTGGCAGCCCCCCTCCCACTGCCCTGCAAGACCAGACACTCCCTGCCCCTCCCTGCCTGAGGCCGACTACTGCGTCCCACGCCAGCTCCCCCCTCTCACTCTCTCTCTCTCACACTCTCTCTCTCACACTCTCTCTCATTCTCCAGGCAGCTAAGCTTCCCTCCACAGGCGGCCATGTCTAGGCCTAGAAGGTCATGGCAGGCCAAAGGCAGCACTCCAGGCAGATCTCGGGGCTGGCAGTGGCTCTAAGTGCATAAGGGGCTGCCCTGGGGAGGGGAGGGGAGGGGGGAGGGGAGGGTGTGTCAAAGGCAAGGGCGTCCTGGCAAGGCCTCACCTGGAGGTTGGTGAGCTGCTGCTGCTGGTGGGCAATCGTCTGCTTCACCAAGACGCTTTTGATGCTCTGCTCCATCGCATATTTTTTGGCCTGGCAGGAGAGAGGAGAGAAACCAAAGTCACAGAGACCAGAATCTGGCAAACCTCTGGCCCGGAACACCTAAGAGACTCAGCAGCTGAATCAGGGACAAGGCGGCCTTCCTGCTCACACCCACACACCCACCCTCCATCAGCCCCACCAGCTCCCCTATTAGGCCAGGCGAAGCGTTTTCTATTATGTCGTAAAATGCCTTATAATTTTATGTCATAAAATGTTTTCTAAAGTTTGGCAAGTTTCAATTCCATGGCAGTTGTGCATCCCAGATCTTGGACCCATTCTGTACGTTAGCCATTTGAGGTTCCTTGATTCAACAACAGATGTCCTATGGTGCACTGTTTCTCTCAGTTAAAGGTTTTATAGGAATGAGAGCTTTAGAACTGTATACTTAGATATGTACTATGTTGCTTTTATCATTGGTGCCATTTTAATTGTTGGTAAGGGAGCCACCCATAGTTCAATATAAGATAGTGGCTGCCTATCTAAGTGTTTTAATATATAAAGTTAGCTTCCTAACATTTTCACAGTAAAAGGGGACAGGCCTCACACAGCTGGTCCTCCTGAAGGGATCGCTTTCTCCCCTAGGGACCGTCTCTGCAAGGACACCCTCGCCCAGCGGTAGTTTGAGGGAACCCCCACCACAAACCTGGGAGTAAGACTCTGGGACAGCCTGGCCTTCACCTCAGCTGCTCCACAAGCCAGCCAGACCAGAACACTCGCCTGGCTGCTGGGGCCCCCCAGAAGCTGGAGCTCTGGCCCAGCCTGTAGGGTCCCCTGGGACCTACTCAATGCCCTGAGGAAGCCCAGCAGCACCTCTCCTGGGCTAAGCCATCAGCCTCCTCTCCTGTCAGTGCCTGCCAGCTGGTAAAGCAGCAGCACTCTCCTCCTCACCTCGGGGTACCATGCATCAACCCCAGTTCTGACATTGGGAGAGGGAGATGGCCCCCCTCCACTATCTACATCACCAGTGCCACACGTGCCTCTCCCCTGAGCTAAGAAAGGACCCACTCTCACTTTTCCTAGAGGGAATAGCCCAATTCCCTGATAAGGTTGGTTATTTTTCATGCACCTTCCCCAGCTGTGTCACTGTTTTCTCAAGTAGGAGGGATCTGAGAAATAGGCAGAAATCTGAGCACGATTCAAGCACCCAGTCCTTCCTCTGGGAACCGTTTCATTTTCAATACACTTCCTGCTGATTCCAACATGGAATTTACAACCGTCGCACACAGGAAACACTTTTACCGGTTCTCTGCTGAGAGTCCAGTATCCTCTGCCCGCCCAGCCCTATTGAACAAGAGGCTAAAGTACTTGGGGCAGGTCTTCTTATGCCAATCCTCATCCCGTTTAATTTTCCAAGAATTAGTTAAAGCTGCTTTATTCCAGGAAGGGTTTGGCCCCAGCTACTTTTTTTTTTTTTTTTTTGCTTTAATTTATATGCTGCCCTTCTCCGGAGACTCAGGGCGGCTTACAATGTGTTAAGCAATAGCCTTCATACTTTTGTATATTTATACGAAGTCAGCTTATTGCCCCCACAATCTGGGTCCTCATTTCACCTACCTTTGAAAGGATGGAAGGCTGAGTCAACCTTGAGCCTGGTGAGATTTGAACTTGCAGTAATTGCAAGCAGCAGATGTTAATCTGTTAATAACACTGCTTTAGTCCACTGTACTACAGGCTCGTACTTGAGGGACTTGGGGTGTCCATCCTGAGTTGTTTTGGATTTTAGTCCTACAATGGGAGTGGGGTGGGTCGGCAATACATACATATGTACGCAGAATTTAACTCAACAGCCATTAGCAAAAAGCGAGGCACACTTGCCCTAAAAGAACCAACTTTCTAGGCATCCATGCAATTACAGATTTGGGCTAAGCCATGTTAATGCCTTTTCATTTGTTCTGCATCTGTTAGCACCTCACTGAATAGCTGGGTGAAATCCCCAAATCTGGTTACAGCCCACTCCTGTGGAGGGCGGCACTACATTTCTGGTGGGGCTCTGCCCAGAAGAGAAAAGATCCTTGCCCATGCTCCCGACCCACCCACCCACCCGGCTATGCGTGGGCTGGATGATGACCTTGGTCAAGCTGCTCACCTTCTGAAGGGCCTCCTGCTGCTCCGGGGTAAGAGGAGGGAGCCCCAGCTTGGCTGACGTGCTCTGCCCATTTTCCACCTTGACGGTTTCGGTGCCCTGAAATTGGAGAGATGCTCATGAAAGCCTGCCTGAACAAAGGAGATCCATGCAGATTGGGTTGGGAGGCCCAGTTTCATTGAGCGGGGGAGGGCAGGGGAAACAGGCCAATAGTAATTTCAAAATAATCTGCTTGATATTTAAATTGATAGAGACATTCCCTGGGTCTCTTTAGAGTGCCTGTAGCACTTCTTCCCAGCTGGGATCCACAGAAGGGCGTGTACGGAGCTGCCCCTTCAACAGTTAACCGGCATCTCCCACAAGATTCCTTCCACCTTCTCATCCAAACAGCTTTGAAATACCTAGGTTAGAGACCCCCTCCACTGACCAGCAGCTAATGATGAGGTCTTAGCCACCCATTTAGACGGATTCTATTTAATTAGTGTGCTAATCAGAACATCCTGGGATGTGTTGTCAGCACAGCTTGTTCTTGCTGATTTCTGGAAATCTCCCCAAGCCTTAAAAGATTTTCACAGATCTCTATGACCTGCTCTTATAAGTTTGGGTGCAGCAGTTCTCAAGACCCTCCTCCTTCAAGGTAGGAGCAACAGTCATTCTGGCTAGTGATTTGCTTTATGCAGTTGTGCAGAATTTCTCACTCAAATACTTTGGCCACCTAATGAGAAGGAAGGATTCAATGGAGAAGAGCCTAATGCTGGGAAAGATTGAGGGCAAAAGAAGACGGGGACAACAGAGAATGAGATGGCTGGATGAAGTCACTGAAGCAGTAGGTGTGAGCTTAAATGGACTCCAGAGGATGGTAGAGGACAGGAAGGCCTGGAGGAACGTTGTCCATGGGGTCGTGATGGGTCGGACACGACTTCACAACAACAACAAAGAATTTCTCAGCAATTACATAAGAGATCATCCAGATGTTCAGCTATTTCCTACTGATTTAACCCATTGAAAGGAGGAAAAAAGGCACCGATTGTCCTCACTTACCAACCAGAATTGGGACTAGAACACCATCACTGAGTGATAAAGTAATTTAGTGAAACATCACATGGCCACATTGGTCTCACAACAGTCCCTCTGTAGTCATTAAGCAAGCCACTCTGGATCATTAAACACAACCTCCTCATATGACACACACACACACCAAATCTGCAACTCCCTGCCAGCTTCCCCACTGACTTTGCTTGTTGGAAGACTGCTGTCACAATCACATGACCGTGGGATACCATTATCATTGTAAAGACACCTTGCAAAGTGCCCAAATTGTGATCACGTGACTGTGGGAATGTTGCAATGGTTGGAAGTTTGAGGACCTGTTGTGAACCTACTTTTTCAGTGCCACTGTAACTTTGAAGAGTGGCTGGATGAGGCGGTAAATGGGGACTACCTATATTCCTAATCATGCATTTATCAGCCTCAGATTTTAGTCCTGTCCCTTCATTCTGGCCTTCACAATTTTCAGGGGAAATACATCCTCTTTAATTGGAAAATCCAAAGAGAAATAATTTCCCTTATTTTCTGTTTGAATAGCTCACACACGATTCCTTCTCCCACCTCCACCACCCATCATTTTCAATGCCTTTAAAAGCCAGTGATGTGGATCTGAAGAGACCCTCATGCTCCGTTCCCCTCTGAATCACCTTTTCTGCTGCTCATCCCTAACCCAAAGCCCTTTTGGTGGCTCTTAGAAATCTCTGCAACCACCATTCATTCTGCACTTCTACTTTCTTGACCTCCTACCAGGCAATACACACACTACCTACAAAGTAATCTGGACCTGTTTCAAGTGAGTAACTACTTTGTCTAGCTTCTGCGGTATCTGACATCTTGTCTTTAACTGTTGCTGGGCATTTTGAGCTCTGGGTTCCTTTTTCCATTAATGTTCTCCTGCTGTGATGTCCTACTACCTACAACTATGGTTAAGTTTTTTGCAGTTCTAGATCCCAAGGATGCATTCACCAGGTTCTAGCACTGGAAGTTTGATTTCTGCTTTCAGACATTGCAAAGGTGTTTGTTACCTCCAAGGGAGGGAGAGGTGAAAAGATTGGGGGTGGGGAGATTATAGGAGTAATTGGGCCCAGGGTGGTGCTGTACTACAGTGCTGGGCATTTTTAGAATGTATCGGATAATAACTCACCCCAAACTAACATATGACCTCTCCTGAGAGTTTAAAGTAACAGTTAAACATGATAGAGTTAAAGGTAAAGCTTTGGGACCCTCCATAACAGAGAATCTAGCAACTACTCTTTCCTCTGCTGCTCCCAAAAGAAACCATCAGGTAGGAGTGGACCTACCAGAGAAACTCTCAGTCCTCAGATGAGGTTCAGGAGGATGCTGTGACTGGCAGCATAGCAATCCATTGGGAGGCCTCCCATCATCTTCCACAGGTCAACCATCAGAGGGACCAATGCAGATTCTATCCCATGATCAGGAATGAAACCAAACTGTCTCTGGAGGCTTTTGTAACTGCAGTCCCACCTCTTTCTTAACCTTCCCCAAGAAGGGGAGTATTTGAGACATAATGGAAGTAATTCATAACTGCTGGATTCAGATTTAGTTCCTTGAGGAGTGGAAGGACCTGCCCCTCTTCCAGGACTTCTGAGGCCTCGCCTTCCCTCAAATGGATTGACCACAGCTTGAATCCAGCTCCCAGTTCCCTGCCTGGCCATTTCCACCAGCCAGGTTGTGCAGAGGCCCAATCCGGAGGAGGTAAAACTGAAAATGCAGGGAACCTCTTCCAATTTCTCAAGGTTCACTTTTTATGATACAGACCATCTAGGGAAAGATGGCCAGACTATCCGTGGAGTACCATTGTGAGTTCTTAGTAGAGAATGTTGCAGAGAAAATATTCGCCTTTGTTGATTAGAAATCAGCTAGAAAAAGTCTGAAACGGCATCAAAACTGTCGCCTCACAGTCTTTATTTGGCACAGCTTTCAATCTGCTGATTCTAAGCAAGTGGACCTTGGCCCACGAGCCGGTGGTCTTGGCCCCTCTCCCACCCGGCCTTGAAGAGCTGCCCTGAAAAGGAGCAGAGACTGGATCCAAATGCTCGTGAACACCCCCGTGGCAGGAACCGGGCCGGTGGGGGGGGAACCTTTTGGAAGCCATCCGTGTGACCCTCCTGCAGAGCCATTCGGGACCCAGCTGCTATCGGGCAGTCCGTGGGGGGGGGGGGAGGTTAGGGCGAAGCTGCTGGACCACAAGGGGCCCCGGAAGAAGAGAGAAGCGGATCACCTGGAGCCTTTACAAAGTCGGGGACGGCCCCAGACCAAAGCCTCCCACCATCCAAGGGCCGCTGTCCCATCCAGGCCGGCTTCCGGCATCCCCTCGGGGGGCCCTGCGAAGGGTGGGGGCGCCTCTTTCTCCGGGGGTTCTTGTGGTTGGCGGCCTATGCAACCTCTCCACGGAGCGGGCATGGGCTCCTCAGCCGGCCGATGACGCCCAGCCATCCGGGAGGCGCGTCGGTCCTCGGGGCTCCGGGACGGGCGCGGCTTGGCTCCAGAAACTGCCTGGCTGACCCGGACCGTCTGGCCGCAGCTCGGGCAACCCCGGGAAAGGGGGGGGGGGGCGGGGCAGGAGGCCGGACTGGCTGGCCGCCCGCGGGAGAGGAGGGGGGGAGGGGAGGCGCGCGAGGCGGAGAGTGCCGCGAGGCGGCTGGGAAATGTAGTCCCGGGCCCCCCTCGCCTCACGCCCCGTCAGCGGCTCAACCGAGGATGCCCCGCATCTCTTTCACGCGGCTCTCCTCCGTTCCGACCGGTCAGGCGCGGCCGCTTACCAGAGAGAGCGCCGCGGTGGTGGTGGTGGTGGTGGTCGCCGCAGCCGCCGCCATCTTCGCCGCCGCCGCCGCCGCCTCGAGCACCAAGCTCCGGAGTTCTCGCGAGAACGAGGCGGCGGGAGGCCGGGCGAACGCGACACGGCTCCGGAGCAAAGGGCGCATGCGCGAGCTCGCTGATTGGCCCGCGCCTCCCGCCACCCGGAGCCTTTAAGGGGGGGACAGCCTCGTGAAGGAGGCGCTCCGGCCAGAGCCTTTCCCGCTTCTCTCGCCCCGCCCACCCCCGTCGGAGGGGGGTGGCGCGGGGGGGGGGGGGGGGGCAAGGGCCGGGGGGGGGGGGGTTGCGGGGGCTTTAATGCGGGGGGGGGGGGGGTTGGGAGAGAAGGGCGCGCGTGCGTGGCGGAGGAGGCTGCCGCGCGGGGAAAAGGCAGCTGCGGTCGGAGAAGCCCCGGGAGGAGCCCCCGCTCTGCCTGACCTTTCCCGGGCGAGCCCCGCTCCCGCCGTGTCCTAAGGAAGGCGCTGCCCCTCGTCGCCTCCGTGGGTTGGAGGGAAGGAAGGCGGCCGAGAGGCGGCAAGCCCCGTCCAAGCAGAGGTTGCCGGGCAGCCGGCTTCTCTCCCTCGTTCGGCCGGTGCCGCTTCACGGGCCCTTCTGGCCGCCGGCCTCGGGGCTGGAGCCGGCGCCTCGGGCGGGAGGAGCCCGGGGTCTTTGCAGGGCGCCTTCCAGGAACGCCGCCAGCTTCTCCCGGTCGTCCTAGAAGAGAGCAGCGGGCGAGCGGATGGGCTTGTGCTCGCAGACCCCCCCCCGCCCCCTTCAAGTCTGCCGGCCGCCCTGACCGAAACCCCCCCACCCAGCGGGGGGGGGGGCGAGGCGCAGAAGGCTCACCTGGCTGATGAATCCATAGTGCACCAGTTCAGCCGCCAGGTCTCTGGCACTGTCGCCTGTGGACGAGCAGGGATGACCAGCCTTACAAGGTGAAGTGGAGCCTTTGGCCCTCCTGCAAAGCTGCTTCAGAGGGCCCGGACTGGCACCCCTGCAGGAAGAGGGGCCAGAGAGCCGCTGCGGGGACCCCTCTGCTGTGCCAGCCCTTCTTGGATGGGGGGGGGTTCACTCATGGACACCCGAGCCTCGGTTCCCGCAGCAGCCCAAGCAATGGTGGGCGCAAGGCAGTCCTGCCGCGTCATCCCTCTGCTTTGAGAGCAACCTCGATGACCAGTCTGTTTCTGAGTGCAATCCAAGGTGCTGGTTGTCCCTTGTGAAGCCCCTCAAGGCTTGGGACGCGGGTAGCTCTAGGGCTGCTTCTCCTTTTGCTCCTGCAAGAGAAGCTCCCCGCAGGGCCCTACTTCTAGGGAATGAGGCCCCAGGACCAGCTTCCCTGGGAGAGACTGGGTTTTGCAAAGCATTGCACCTGGCTGCTTCAGTGGGCCTTTGGGATCTCCTGAGGGGCGACTGGGTTAGGTGTGTTACAATTCTTCCTCGGCACTGGAAGTTTTCATGGCCCCATAGCCAAATAAATAAACAAAACCCCGTGGGTGAGGGCCTGGGATGGCATTGTCCAGATTCTCCTCAGGGCAAGGAGGAAGCTGCAGGTGCCTTAGGAGGCCAGGCTCTGGTCTGCAGCAGAGATGAGGAAGGCTGCGGGGGGAGACCCCTACCCAAGATCCAGAGGCACAGCTGGCATCGCTGCCCATCCCACCACCCATGCCCCTCGCGCCCAGGGGAAGGGACGTGGGCTGGACTCACTCGGGAGCAGGTCGTAGCTTAGCTGGCGGTGGAGCTTGTCTTCCAGGGTGAGGAGGAGGGTCAGCTGTTAGGGAGGCACAGGCTGGCATGAATTGTGGCCGTCTGGGGCAGTTGAAGAAGAAGGCACTTCCAAAATCTACTCATAAAACTACTAAGAAAGAATTCTTGGGAAAGCAAATGTATACCAGAGAAGGTGTTCTTGTTGTTTGGAGCAGTTTCAAAAACAAGCTTTATAAAATGACTTTTGTCCTGCCCGAGAGCTTCTTAGGACCGTGCTGCCTCAGCCCCTTTAGCCCCACAGGCCCACTCCCCAAAGTCCCCAAGCAGGGCCTGATCTCCGCTATGAACGGCCGGGGGCTTCCCTGTGCCCACCTCCTCTAAACCAGAGGGGAATCTCCTCCCTATCCTTAGGTCTTCACAGGGACGCCTAAATGTAGGGTAAGGGGAGGCTGTTGAAAAGTCCCAGCTTCCGCTCCCTGGGATGCCTGGCCTGGTGCTCCTCTGGCCTGCAAGTGCTTCCCTGAGCCATACGTACGTGCCATTGCCGCCTTTCCTCCTGCCAGTCCATGTTGCACTGCATTTGCACCACCTAGTGGGGGCAAGGGCAGCCCTCAGTAGAAGCCCCCTGCCAAGGCCCTGCTGGTAGGGGTGCTGGAAGCCGCCCTTTCTGCGGCTCTCCCCAAGCTTGGCTCCCTGGCCCTGCGTGGAAGCATCTCCCATGGTTGAGAACCCTCCCTCCCAATAAACATCTCCCACCCACAGCATCATCCCCGCAAAAGCCAGCCAAGAGAGATTGCCAGGCAGCTTAGTCTTTTTTCCAGAGAAATGGGCGTGCAGCACTGGGTGTTGGCTGCAGCCATTTTGTGAAGGTGCCTGGGGCCACGTGTGGCGTTCCTGCAGGCGATTAGGGGGAAAAGATTTCTCCACTCCTGTCAAGGTTTTAGTCCCCATCCCATCGCCATGACACGTCCTGAGGCTCCTGGCCTGACCCCTTGCTACCCATCCTGGGGTGGGTCTGCCTCCTCTTCCCCCCCCCCCACTCCAGGGGAAAACAGACTGAAGTGGTGCAATTAGTGGAGTAGAGTCCCGCAGGTAGCCCCCCCCCCTCTTGCCTGCCTGGGCTTCAAACAAGGCAGGGGAGCTGCTGACCCGCCAGAGCCACCTCACCTTCCGTGTCTCTACATCAAAAGGCTCCGGTGTGGGAGTTTGGGCTTTCTGGGGGCCTTCCAGGGCCTGGGAACTGGACTGTGGCAAGGTATGGGGCCGGACAGTGGCAAAGTTCATCAGGGGGTAGATGCCGTTCCTGGCAGAAAGAGTGAGATGGCTCAGGGAAAGGGTCCCAGCAAGTAAAGTCAGGGAGCTCTCTGTCCCACGGCCAGGCTCTCCCCTGTGCTCCCCCAGTTGAGTGTTGGGTGGCTGCAGAGAGAGAAGCAGGAGAAACTCACCTGACGTCTTCCAAGAATTTGTCCAATTCCAGGAAAGAGAGTTCTGAATATCTGAGGGGGGGAGGGCAAATTTAGGGCAGTTCTCTGTGACCACCCAACAGGACCAGAAGGGTTCAAGGCGCCGTGGCTGCCAGCAACCCCCCATGCCAAGGCTGGAGACAGATGCAGCAAGGACCTGGCTTCTGCTTTTCCTGCCCTCCCTAGGCTGTCCCCTGGTGGAGAGGGAGGAAGGAGGGCGATGGAGATAGCTTTGGGCTGTGAGGGCGGGGGAAGTATCTCTGCCTACGACTACCCAGGTCAGCCAGGAACCCCAGGTTGCAGGCAGGCACCCTGCATGTTGCAGGTGAGCCTTCCGGGGGGAGTTGCTTGTGCGCCAGACTCACCTCCACTGCACTGGCAGCCGCCCTGCCCGCCGAATCTCTGCCATCACCTCGCTGAGATCCAGCTCCTTGGTTTTCTCTTCCACGACATTTTCAGGCCACAGATCTGCAAGACAGGGGACTGGTACTCCAAGCCAGGAGCAGCCAGCCTTCTCTCCCCAAGGCTGCCCTTCCCGCTTGCCCCGTTCCCAGCCTACCCCCTGAACTCACATTGGTGGGCGATAAAGCAATGGGCAGCCAGGAGCTTGAGGGAGTGGACCTCAAAAAGCACCTGGTGGAACAGCAGGTCGTGTGCTGTCGGCCGCCGGCTGGGATTCAGGAGTAGGCAGCCCAGGATGAATTCCTTGGGCAGGGGGAGGAGAGGAGATGGTTACAGATAGAAAAGCCTCTCTTCCCAGCAAGACAGGTAGCTCAGCCCTACACAAGGACAGTTTGAAGATTGAGCAGGAAGGGGTGACCTGCACAAAACGGGCTGTGGCATGTTAATTAGGTCCATTTAGCTCACCCTGGCAAAGACCAGCCATGCCAATGCCACACCCTTCTTCTGACCAGTGGCGCATCAGTCCTCCAGCCCACTGATTCTGAAAGGACAGCGGGGGCAACTGGCTAAGCAGGATCTTCCTAATTATGCATAATGATATTTCATGTGTCTGATGAAAACTAATTTATTCTTCCAAGCTTTTGACAGATGCCAAACATTGAACTGATGCACAGATTTGTTCAATGAACAGAAAATTCTGCAAGCAAAATCTTTGTGGTGCTCAGTGGCAGCCAGAAAGGCTCCCTTGCAGTGTTAAGCCAAGAGGCATTCCCAGAGCAAGAGGAGGTGCCCTCCAGACTGAAGACAAAGATGGTGGGCCCAGCCTGGCAGAGCCAACTGCACCTGCTCCCTCAGTTTTCATCCCATTTTTCTTCAGCTCCCACTCCAATTTATTTTTCACTCCATTGCAGTAGTTGCTAACACGTTTCTTATGTAAGGATCTTAAGTTCCCTGCAGCCAAACGTAAGTAGTCAAGGTGGGACTTGTTGAGGTAGCAGGAAGTAGAACCAACTGTCCCTGAGGTTTGGTAACTTGTTTCTGTGGAGGCCACCTAAAATTGTGCTTGCCTTTCTGGCAACTTCATCACCCCGTGATTTATCAAGAACCCACCCACCCACCCAAATAGAAATACCTGCACATTTGACTGGCAGCTGCCATTTCACCCTTGCCTCTTGCTATGGCTCAGTGCCAGGCTGCCATGAACTCTAGGGTGGGACTGGATGGAAGGGGAGAGGATCACTGTATCTCCCCATAAGAGGAGGTTTCAACCAGCTGGGAACGGAATCCAGTTGCATTCCAACCCACATTTGAAGCCACCGTTCTGAAAACACCTTTGAATTTGATTGGGCTTTGGGGGGGCACTTAAGGCAAGGGAAGTTTGATTTGGGGATTTTGGCACGTGAATTTCACTTTGTGCTACTGTATTTCACTTGACCTCTAGTAAACTATACCTTTCCCAACTAATGGAGTTAAGGATCTTCTTTCTTAAGTGTATACCTCCCTACCTCCTTATATAATCAGGGTTTTTGCTTGGCATTAGGTTCTAAAGGTCATGAAGACTGCCCCCTCCCCAAATTAATAGCAAATCTGAATGTTGCAAAACTGTTGTTACATCAACAGTTGCCAAATGTTCCTTGCTCACTGAGCTTGTTCTCAAATCACGGCAGTACCAGCGGGAGGCAGTTTTTAGCATCAAATGGTTCCTGCGGCACTGTATAATATGACCCCTCTCTAGTCCAGACTGGGCAGGTGGTAAAGAAGGGATGGCAAGAACTCCATCAGACCCCGGGGGGCAGATCAGACCCACCCCAGGAAGACAAGTGTAATATCTACATATCTATACAACCAGGATTATTTTGCAATTCTGAGCTCAGGCCCTGGAAATGTTATGCACTATTCCAGAAGACTGGATTATGGGAGTCACCCTGTCACCCCTTGCCCCACCCCAGAGGGGTCATGCTGCCTCTCACCCGCATGTTGGGGTCATCCAAAGAATGCCTGGCTCGCTCAATGGCCTCCTTGGTCACGGAGGTGTCCCCATTTGACTGGATCTCCAGCACAGCCATCTGTGGGAGAGGCCAAGATGGAGTGGACTGCTGCCTGCAAGGACTGGCCATGCAGGCAGCAGCTGGGTTCCAGATCCCCAGCAGCAGAAGTTGGGCAGGGGGAACTTTTCCCACTCAGCCTCTGCCCCTGCAGGCCCTTACCTCCAGTGCACACATCCCAAAGGAGAAGATGTCCACCGCTGTGCCATCAGCTATCTCTGAAAAGCCAACAGCATCCCATGGAGTTGACATGCCCAAAATGACCAAGCCCGTCACCCCACCGGAAGGGGCTCGCTCTCACCTCCGTACTCCGGTGGGAAGAAGTGCAGGTTCCGCGGGTCTTCCCGCTCTGTATGGACCGGGCTGTGGAGTTCAGGCGGAAGGGCTGCAGTTGGGAAGGGAGGTAAATGCTCAAGAGGGAGCACAGACTAGGGCCAAGGGTGTCCTCCAGAGCTGGCTTCCTGCATCCAAGCGTGGCGGCCTAGATGAGGTTGCCCAGGACACAGTCCTGAGGCCAGGTGAGGGCTGAAGGATTTGAGCCAGCAGGGACCCTTTGGACGGCAGAGAGAGGTGTGAAAAGGCAACTCCAGGCAGCTTCACTTACCCTTTGCAAAAACACGATGCCAGACTGCGGGGTGGGGGGGGGAGAGAGAAAGAAGAAGGCTGTTACAGAGATGCGGGGGCTCTTACCCAGAAGCTGCAGAAGAGTGCCAGCCATGTCATCCCAGCAAAAGCCTCGTGCGTTTGCTTCTCATCCTGAGCAAACAAGTCCTGCACAATATGTCAGGCTAAGCCCGACAACGATGACCAGCAATTCAGCCAGAGGTCAGCTCTTTATTTGCTTACACACCCTAGGCAGATTCTTGCCAGGCTGAATCCTCGCTACTCTCAGCCTAATGAATACACCCCCGTGGGAGATTCTAGGAAGGGACTATCTTGGCTCTCTTCCTCTGTCTCCTATCCTTCAGCTTCAGGCTGTGCTGCCTCTTTCTGGAAGGTGCTCCCACCGTGGGCATCTTCTCTCAGACAGGGGAAGACATTCCCCACCACCCCAGGCCAAGACCATGCGTGGCAGGTCCACGCCAGAGGTGGGTTTCAGCAGGTTCTGACCAGTTCTGGGGAACCAGTAGCGGAAATTTTGAGTAGTTCAGAGAACCAGTAGTAAAAATTCTGACTGGCCCCGCCCCCATCTATGCCTCCCGAGTCCCAGCTGATCGGGAGAAAATGGGGATTTTGCAGTAACCTTCCCCTGGAGTGGGGTGGGAATGGAGATTTTACAGTATCCTTCCCCTGCCACGCCCACCAAGACATGCCATACCCATTAAGCCACACCCACAGAACCAGTAGTAAAAAAATTTGAAACCCAGCACTGGTCCACACACAAGAGGAGTTCTCTTCCACGGGGATGTATAGATATTAGCAGGTCATGGGAAGCATGGGAAAACTTGATCAAGCCAACACACACACACACGTGTGTGAAAGCAATGGAACAAGGCTCCCACACTCCTATTTGTTTTACGTATTAAATTTATATGGCACTCATCTCAGAGTCACAGCAACTCTGGGTGGCTTACAGAATAAGAAAAAGTAAAAATATGAAAAACTTAAAATTGGGAAAAATTAAAGAAGAAGCTAAAAACGAAGAGGACAGGTGATGCGGGCATGGGGATCTCCTCTCTACCCCGTTAGCCATCCTGAGCCCAGAATGCCCCATCAGGGCCCTGGGCCAACCACCAGAGCCAAGACTGCCCTGGAAGGCCCTGAGGGTGGGGGCTGACCTCGCCTCCAGAGGGAGAATATTCCAGAAGGTGGGAGCCACTGCAAAAAAGACTTCTTCTCCTGTACCCACCAGCCCAAATAGTTTGGATGATGGGATCCAAAGTGAGTGGGGAGGGCCAATCCTATTGGGGGGAGACAGTTCCTTGGATATCCTGCACCCATGCCACAAGAGGCTTTACAGGTAATGACCAACACCTTGAGTTGGATCTGGAAGCAAATGAGCAACAGCGGGGTTACACACTCCAGGAGGGTCCACACTGCTGCATTCTATATCCTCTGCAGCTTCTGAATACCCTTCTAGGGCAGCCCCATGTAGAGCATGTTCCAGTGGTCCAACCAAGAAATGACCAGGGCTTCAGGACACAGGAGGGAGGGGAAGGACACAGGTCTTTCTCAGAGACCTGTGGCACAGTGGTGGAATTAAAAAATTTTTTTACTACCGGTTCTGTGGGCGTGGCTTGGTGGGTATGGCAGGGGAAGGATACTGTAAAATCTCCATTCCCACCCCACTCCAGGGGAAGGTTACTGCAAAATCCCCATTTCCTCCCGATCAGCTGGGACTCTGGAGGCAGAGAATAGATGGGGGCGGGGCCAGTCAGAGGTGGTATTTACCAGTTCTCTGAACTACTCAACATTTCTGCTACCGGTTCTCCAGAACTGGTCAGAACCTGCTGAATACTACCTTTGCTGTGGCAGTGGGAGGAGTCCCCCTAGCAGCAGCTAGGGCCTAGCTGGACTTCCTTTCAGGGGCTCCAGAGACTGACCTGGCCCACCTCCTTCATACCTGATCCAATTTTGATGAGCCCATTGTGCTGGATGAAGATCGTGTCACTAGTGAGGTTGCCGTGGATGATGGGGGGATCGCAGGAATGCAGGTAGCTGCAGGGAAAGAGTGCTGGGTGAGCCCTGGGCCCGACAGGTGCTGCCGGGCATCAGCAGGGCTGAGGAGGGGCTGGGGGAATCCAGGACTTACTTGAGAGCTGAGAGCATCTGGGTGCACCAGCGCTTCCATGCCTGTCGGGGAGAGAGCAGAGGGAAAAAGGCCGTCAGTGACGTCGGGAGCCCCTCCACCCAGACCCCCTATAACTCTATTCCCAGGTTGTTGGCAGCCTGAGGGCTCAGTGTGGCAACCGTGGGGGTCCATCAGGGGCATCAGGGGCCCTGCACCCAACCTTCTGGCAGGGCTCCCAGGGCAGCTGACGCAAGCAGTCGAAGCGGGAGGAGGGGTGGGGTGGGTATTACCCACCCTGGCATTCATCGCTTTGTGGTTTTTCTTGGTCTTCTTCAGGAACTGCTTCAGGCTCCCTGAGGAGACATACTCTGTGATGAAGATCACCTGCAGGGGAGGGGTCAGAGCAGGGGTGAAATCCAATAGGTTCTTACAGGTTCTGAAGAACCGGTAGCGGAAATTTTGAGAAGTTCGGAGAACCGGCAAATACCACCTCTGGCTGGCCCCAGAGTGGGGTGGGAATAGAGATTTTGCAATATCCTTCCCCCAGGAATGGGGTAGGATTGGAGATTTTGCAGTATCCTTCCCCTAGGAATGGGGAGGGAATGAAGATTTTGCAGTATCCTTCCCCTGCCATGCCCACCAAGCCACACCCACCAAGCCACACTACACCCACCAAGCCACGCCCACAGAACCGGTAGTAAAAAAATTTGGATTTCATCACTGGGTCAGAGTGGTCCCAGTGGGGGCCCTTATTCCCAGGTGCCCTTCCCAGCCCCACTTTCTGATTCTGTGGCCTGCCGAATGTTGCCAGCCCTCACACTGCCCACCAGTGCCCTTCTCCAGGTGACCTCATGGCTTCCTGGAGCCCCTTGTCCTGAGCCCAGCCCTCCAGCCCCATAGCCTCACCAGTCTGCCCTGCCCTCTGGTAACTCACTTGGGCTTTGCTTTCCTTCACGTCCAGCCAGTATTTGTGCACCTTCACGATGTTGGGATGGTCAACGACCACCAGCTGCTCAAAGGTGACCTTGATCTTCTCCTGTTGGGCAAGCGGCACTTCAGGGGAAGGGAGCCTCTGCCAGGGCCAGGCAGAGACTGGCACTCTGGGCACAGGCCCCGCTCCTCCTGCGGACCCAACTCACCTCGTGCGCCATGAAAGCCGCCTTGTCCATGAACTGCAGCTCATTCCACACCACCTCCACGCCTTCCTCTGTGTCCATGGCGAGGAACGTGCTCTGGAGCCCAGGCATGTTGCCTTGGTTCACCTGTGGGCATCATCATTGTGGGAATGGATCTGGGGGGATCCATAAATCCACTGAAAGGGGTAATGGGTCTGATAATCATGGTGGGGAGGATGGGGACAGAAATCTGACAAGGATGCAGGGGGATGAAGCGATGGGCATTAGTATAGTAAGTGGGAGGGGCAGATATGACGGCTGCAGGGGGCCATATTATGTTTCGGGAGTGCGCACTTGATGTTTACGAGCGATTGCCCACTCCGACCCCCAAAGCACTGCTCGTTTCCCGGGTTGTTCAGAGTCTCAGACCCTGGGTCTACGGCTGATGTTATGTAATGCCAGGTCAGTGGTAAATAAAGCCCCCCTCATTCATGATCTTATTTCAGAGGGGGGTGCTGACCTGGCAGGGATTACGGAGACCTGGTTAGGCCAGGAGGGAGGAGTTCCCCTTGTGGAAATGTGCCCGCCAGGTTTCCGTGCATTTCATCAGCCAAGGACTCAGGGAAGGGGTGGGGGAGTGGCAGCAATCATTAGAGAAAGTCTTTGCCCAAGGGAGGCCACTGTTCCTCAGATAGCTGGATGTGAGTCCCTCCTTGTGAAGTGGGGTCGGGGGATTCAGATGGGCCTACTGATTGCGTACCTGGCACCTTGCCACGTAACAGCGGTCCTGCCTGAGCTGCTCGACATTATAGCCGGGGTGGCGGTGGAAACCCCCAGACTTATTGTTATGGGGGATTTTAACCTGCCATCCGCTGGTGAGATGTCGGAGACGGCTCAGGAGTTCATGGCTTCCATGACGGCCATGGACCTGACCCAGGTAGTTCAAGGCCCCACCCACTTGGGGAATCACACTCTGGACTTGATTTTTGTCTCTGATCAGTGGCTGAATGATCTAAGAATAGGGGATATAGACATCAAGCCCTTGTCATGGTCTGATCATTCTCTCCTTCACATGGACTTTCAAGTCACTTCCACCCACCGCAGGGAGAAGGAACCAACCAAATGGTGAGAAAGATGAAGCGTCGGAAAAGACGCCTGGAGAGCGATTGGAGGACAAGCCGATCGGAATCTGACCGAACACAGGTGAGATCTTATATTAAGACCTACCTAATGGCGATAAGAGCGGCGAAGTCTAGCTACTTCTCCGCTCTTATTGCATCTGCAGAGAACCGCCCAGCTGCGCTGTTTAGGGTGACCCGCTCCCTACTTCAGGTGGGGGTACGGGAAGATCCCTTAAAGGGTCGAGCTGAGGATTTTGTACAATTCCTGCATGATAAAGTCGCTCAGATTCGGGAAGGCCTGGACTCCGATTGGGTAGATCCAGGGGAGGAGACGGGGGCAGGTCTTGAGAGCGTTATCTGGGAAGAGTTTGACTCTGTGGCTCCTGAGGACATGGACAGGATTCTGGGCAAGCTTAACGCTGCCACATGTTTATTGGACCCGTGTCCCTCCTGGTTGGTACTGGCCTCCCGGGAGGTTACACGAGGCTGGCTCCAGGGGATTATAAATGCTTCTCTGAGTGAGGGTGTCTTTCCCGCCGCCTTGAAAGAGGCGGTTGTGAAGCCCCTCCTCAAGAAGCCTTCCCTGGACCAGGCTATATTATCAAATTATCGTCCAGTCTCCAATCTTCGCTTTGTTGCGAAGGTTGTTGAGAGTGTGGTGGCGCGACAACTACCCCGATACCTGGATGAAGTTGTCTATCTGGATCCGTTCCAGTCGGGCTTCAGGTCACGATACAGCACGGAAACGGCATTGGTCGCATTGGTGGATGATCTCTGGAGGGCTCGGGACAGAGGTTGCTCCTCTATCCTGGTCCTATTAGATCTCTCAGCGGCTTTTGATACCATCGACCATGGTATCTTACTGCACCGGCTGGAGGGGTTAGGAATAGGAGGCACCGTGCTTCGGTGGTTCTCCTCCTTCCTCTCTGACCGTTCGCAGTTTGTGTTGGCAGGGGAGCAGAGGTCGACCTCGAGGCACCTTATTTGTGGGGTGCCGCAAGGGTCAGTCCTCTCACCCCTTCTGTTCAACATTTATGTAAAACCGCTAGGTGAGATCATCCGTGGTTTTGGGGTGAGTGTTCATCAGTATGCTGATGACACACAGCTATACATCTCCACCCCAGACCACCCCAATGATGCCCTTGCTGTGATGTCCCGTTGCCTGGAGGCCGTGCGGATCTGGATGGGGAGAAACAAGCTCAGACTCAACCCCTCCAAGACCGAGTGGCTGTGGCTTCCGGCGTCCCGGTATAGTCAGCTGGTACCATCACTGACAATAGGGGATGAGATCTTGCTCCCCACAGAGAGGGCCCGCAACTTGGGTGTCCTCCTGGATTCACGGTTATCTTTAGAAGATCATTTGACGGCCGTGGCCAGGGGTGCCTTTTATCAGGTTCGCCTGATCCGCCAGTTGCGTCCCTTTCTGGATCGGGACGCCTTGTGCACGGTCACTCATGCCCTAGTTACCTCCCGTATGGACTACTGTAATGCTCTCTACATGGGGCTCCCCTTGAAAAGCACCCGGAGGCTCCAACTGGTCCAGAACGTAGCCGCACGGGTGATTATGGGCGCAGCTCGTTACGCCCATGTAACACCTCTCCTACGCGAGCTGCACTGGCTCCCGGTGGTCTTCCGGGTGCGATTCAAGGTGTTACTTATCACCTTTAAAGCGCTCCATGGCTTAGGACCTGGGTACCTACGAGACCGTCTTTTGCCACCAATAGCCTCCCACCGACCAGTTCGTTCTCACAGGGAGGGACTACTCAGGGTACCGTCAGTCAAATTATGTCGACTGGCGACTCCCAGGGGGAGGGCCTTCTCTGTGGGGGCTCCAACCCTTTGGAATGAACTGCCCCCGGAGATACGGAATATCCCTGATCTCCGTGCTTTCCGCCGTGCCCTCAAGACCCTGATGTTCCAACAGGCAGGGCTAAACATACAAACATGTGAATGATTTTTTAAATGTTATCTAATTCTGGGTTTTATTTAATTGACCAAACTAAGTAATAATTTTAATTAGCAATTTTATGATGTTTGTGTGTCTATATTTTTCTTGACTGTACACCGCCTTGAGTCCTACGGGAGAAAGGCGGTATAGAAATATAATAAATAAATAAATAAATAAATAAATAAATAAATAAATAAATAAATCATCCAGCTTCAGCAGCCAGGCTGGCAAGAGAACCAACGGGCACCCACACGACACATGCCACACCCTGGCTGAGACAGGGTGTTCGCCTCCTGCCCTCCAGCTGTGCCCCCACTGAAAGGGGATGAGAAAGAGGCCAGCTTCCGAGGGGAAAGGGGGCCTTCCCCCCACACACCCTTATTGGGATGGCCAAATCAGCCCGTTTCCTGGGCTCACACGTGACCCATGTGACACATAAGCTTACCACACAGAACAAGTGGAACCTCAGGATGGGCCCTGAACACTCCCCCCCACCCCCGCCCCAAAGCTCAGCGTGCTAAGTATTGTTGCGGTGATCGCCACTGTACTGGCAAGGGCCCCCCTGGGTGAGCACAGCCCCCTCCCCAGAAGAAACAGGACAGAGAGCCGTTCTCCTGGGTCCTCCAAGGGCAGGAGCCTCAGTCTGGACGACCAGGGAGGGGACTGCAGCCAGACACCCCCCCACACACACACACCACTCTTTCCAGGAGCTGCTTTAGGAGAGTAGTCCCAGGTCCAAATAAGGGTCCCCCAGGAGTGTGGTGGCTGCCTGATGTTGCTACCAGAATCCCCTCCTCTGCCATTTGCCAGCAGGGCTACCAGTGGCTGTCTTCCCAGAAAAAAATGGGGGAGGGAAAATTGCTTTCCTCCTGCACAAGCCAAGGTTGGCTTGCTGATTCTCTGCTCCTTGATGGGCTCCCCTGGGCTGAGATTGGCAGCAGGCATCCTAGGAGCCCCCTGGCTCAGGGGAACCAGGAACAAAGGCAGCCACTTCCCCTCACCCCCTCGGGGCCCATAAGGAACCGGGGTTCAGCAGCAGGACCGCCAGCAAAGGAGGAAGCAGCGGGCACTGCCATCTTGTTTTCCTGAGACTGGAGGCTTTGGGGAGGTGACGCAGCCAAGTGCCAGAGTGGCTTTCTAGCAGGAGGAGGAGGAGGAGGAGGAAGGGGGTCTGCACCCCTGCAAGAGCACGGAGGAAAGGGGAGAAAAGTACCTCCTCTGCTTGAACCCCCTTCCCCGCTCACTTCTGATGGCCAAGGCAGCCTCCTTTTTCTGGTCTGTGTTTGGGCAGATCACGCAGCTGATTCACCCGGTGTCTTTACAGCTCGCAGGTAAAATTAGATCCTGGGTTTTAGTGTTGTTTATTTCTCACGGATAATTTATAGGGTGTATTTTAATATTTTTCTTGGCATTTTGATTTATTCTCTTGATACTGAATTAGCATCTATGCCTATGTGTTCATCATAAAACTAAATAAACAAGAGGAAAAATACATCTGCCTGGGCAAGGAAAGGAAAGCACTGCCCAGGAGAGGACTTGTCCCACCAGCAAACCCTTCGCCCTGCCCTTCCCTCTTCCCTCCTGCCATCTGCGGGGAGAGGGCAGGGGGGCTGCCACCCAAAGGAGAGCCTGGCCTGGGTACCAGCAGCTTTCTGATGAAGCCGTTGTCATGGCAACGGAGCCTTGGTAGCACAGTGGACTAAAGCACTGTTATTAACATCTGCTGCTTGCAATTACTGCAAGTTCAAATCTCATCAGGCTCAAGGTTGACTCAGCCTTCCATCCTTTCAAAGGTAGGTAAAATGAGGACCCAGATTGTGGGGGCAATAAGCTGACTTTGTATACATATACAAAAGTATGAAGGCTATTGCTTAACGCATTGTAAGCCGCCCTGAGTCTCCGGAGAAGGGCGGCATATAAATTAAAAGCAAAAAAAAAAAAAAAAACCTGCCTGCAAGATTCAGGTGGCCAACCCAGCGGCAATGATTCTTTTGGGAGCCCAGGGAGGCCCCAATGACCAGAACGCTCAGGACCAAGTGGATGATTTGTGGTGTGCCCCCCCCCAAAGTACAGGCCTCCTGCAAACCCTGCAAACGGAGATGGGTTTCCACATGGCCACCCCTTACAAGAGGTTTCCCATCACTTCCCTCCTCCAAGCTAACTGCATGTTTACTGGCGCTGTAAAGTCAGGATGAGACATAAAATCATTAAAACTGCCCAGAATATCATCAGACTCCAGCTACCAGCCCTGGACGACATCTTGGAATCTCGCTGTTTAAGAAAGTTGCATAACATTCTCAGAGACTCTTCCCATCCTGCTTACAATCTTTTTAGACTGTTGCCTTCTGGCAGAAGATACGGAACAATTAAAACTCAGACCACACGTTTTCTGAATAGTTTTTATCCCAGAGTTGTAATTACACTCAACAATGAACTAAAGGGCCACCATCAGTGAGCTGTTGGGACAGTATTACTTGGTCTGTTGTGTGGATGTTGGGGTGGTTTAGGGGTGGGGAATTGTGGTGGGTGAGAGTGTGTTTGGGGATTGTTATGTGTGTTGGACCTGGTCTTTGGGTGTTAAGTGAATTTCGTTGTATGGGTATGACAATAAAGTTATTTATTTATTTATTTATTTATTTAAAACTATTCTGCCATACCTACATCTGGCCTAGCAATTACATCCATAGTTTCTGCATTCCCTTCCTGAAGGAAGCAGTAGAGGAATGTGGAGATGCCCACAAAGAGACTGGGCAGCAGGCCCTGCAAAAACATGGGCCTGGCATGACAGAAGCAGGTGAGGAAGGAACTCAAGACCACCCTGCCCAAGCTCTTGGGCAGAGGAGGGATCTCCCAGGCTTTCAGAGCCCAGGTCAACTCAAGTGGGAGTGTTCTGGGGTGTCTATTTCCTGACTATGTCTACCTCGCAGGGCTGACAGGTGATGCATTGCTCCCTTTCTGGCAAGGCAAAATGGCCGCTCACCCACGCTCCGCTCCAAGGCCGCCCCATGAGCAGGAACGAAGGTTTCCTTTGAGGCCACAACAGAGGTGGGTTTCAGCAGGCTCTGACCAGTTCTGGAGAACCGGTAGTGGAAATTTGAGTAGTTCGGAGAACCAGTAGTAAAAATTCTGACTGGCCCCGCCCCCATCTATTCTCTGCCAAGTCCCAGCTGATCGGGAGGAAATGAGGATTTTGCAGTATCCTTCCCCTGAAGTGGGGTAGGAATGGAGATTTTGCAGTATCCTTCCCCTGTCACGCCCACCAAGCCATGCCACGCCCACCAAGCCACACCCACAGAACCGGTAGTAAAAAAAGTTTGAAACCCACCACTGGGCCATAACAAGCAAAACTCAGGGAAGCAGAGCCAAAGCTCTGGGGAGCAGCACTGGGGACAGGCTGCTTGTCTAAAGTGCCACACCAGGAAAAGGCCCAGCCCTGCCCTCCTCCGATAAGCCTCCCGTCAAGCCCCCACTCTCCTCCCTGGGGAGATAAGCAGCAGTAGCAGCAATTCAGCCAAGCTCAGGTTCTACCCAATGCAGGATGACCCATAGCCTCTCAGCAGATGCCCTTCGCTGACCAGCCCTGCAAGATCCTTCTTCGATCAGTGACCATCCAAGAACAATGGGTGTCAGCTGCAATAAATCAGAAAGCCTGAGGGCTCCCCCATTCGGCCCCCTCCAAATGAACCCAATGTGGCTCCCAAACCAGCCATTGGGAGAAATATGGCAGAGATAACTCAGGCGGCCCTGAGTCCCACACGAGGCGGAGTGGCCCAGGGTGTCCTTGGCAGAGCCAGCCAGTGGCTGCTGCTCTCAGCTCCCCACAAGGGTTCCCAGGGCAACCTCGTGGGCACAGCTGCTGCTGCCAGCCTGAGAAGGGGGAGAGAGACTTGGGTGCCCCTGCTGGCTAAAGCCAGGCTTGGCCCAAGAGCTGGCTGAACAAGGCCCGTGGGGTGAGCTGGGCAGGAATCCCACTTGCCCTGAGGAGAGGCCTGCGGGTAAAGATGATGGGTGAGCAGCAGCCTCAAAGATATGGGGCAGACTAAGCGCTCACTCAGGAAGCTCTTCAACCCCCCCCCCCATCCCCAGGAGCTGCCAAACAAAGCACAGGAGCGGCTGTCCAAAATCCCAGCTGGGAGGCAGCTGCCATGTACTTGCAAGGCCGGTTCCTGCACTCTGACCTTCGGGAGAAGTCCCTTGGAGGACAAAGGGCCAGGGTGGCTGCTTGCTGGGGGGCGCTGGGGAAGAGTCCCCAGACAGGCTCTGCCAGGGAGCGGGAGAGGCAGGAGAAAGGGGGCAGCTCAAGCAGCATGCGGGAGGAGCTGTATTGCTTGCTCTGGGGTAGATAACAAGGCAGCCGCTTGAGGGCAGAACCTCTGCCAGCTCTGGAGGGGGGGCTCACTCAAAGAGAAGGACAGGCAGGGTAAGAACCTCCCCACCCAGGAGTCCCACAAGCCCCTCCTCACAAAAGGGCCAGGTGTGCATCCACCCCACTCCTCTGCCCAGAGAAGCCTCCGCGCTGGTGATTTAACTCTGGCCAGACTTTGACTGAATGGCCAAATTCCAGAGACCCTGGGATGCCTTTGCTGTGCGGGGGGGGGGGGGGGGGTGGGGGGGGGGGGGGGGGGGGGGAGGTTTGAGCAGGAGGAGGACCTGGGACAGTCAAGCTGCGCTCCTTGGCATTGCCCCCCTCCTTCAAAGTTGGCCTCCTCCACCAGCAGGAAGGAGGATGTCCCAGATGGAGGCCTAGGAGGCCCTTCTGGGCAGTGGGGGAGGGATGGGGTTTGGCCAGCAGTGGGGAAGAGCACCTTGCCCCAGCTGAAGAGCTGCCGCTTCCCCTGCTCCCTAAGGCCAGGAAGTGGGAGGCGGGAGGATCGCCACTGCTCCCTCCTTTGCCTTGCTAAGGGGAGGAGATCCGCCGGCAGACAGTCGAAGGTCGGGGGTGCTTGGTGACAAGAGCCGGCGGTCAGGAGGGAGGCCCCTCGTGTCCCAGGATGGAACCCCGATCCCACCACTGACAGCCTGGAACTGCGCCCCCCGCCCCACAATCTCCCGCCAGGCAGCTTCACGCGCCGACAAAGCGGCAGCCGGGCGCCGGGCGCCGGGAGGGGGGGAGGGGGGCGCCGCGGTGGAGGCGATGGGCGGGAAGAGAGCTGGGCCGACTCAGCGAGCCTACCTCGCGGGGTGAGCGTTGTGGGCAAAGGCTGGAATGGGAAACCCCGGGCCCGGTAGGAGCTTCTGAGGACCGAGGAATGTAGTTCGACCGAGTTATAAGTAAACAAACACGTAAAATTGTCCTGTCTGGCAGCGTTCCTGCGGGTGAGGCGCAAGAGAAGATCATCCAGTCGGGCCACCCGTCCCCGGAAGAATACCCGCCTCCGGGACCGGGTAGGGCGGCGCGGCGCGGGCGCTTGGCTGCCGACACCCCCGCTCCTCCGCGGCGCCCCAACCCGCGACTACCTGCTCCTTGCGCTTCTGCCAGCGGCCGCACGGGCTCTCCTCCAGCACCTCGCTTTCGTCCTCGCTCTCCTCCTGCGCGGCGGCGCGCGTCTGGTCCGCTTCCGCGCGCCCCGACATGTCTCCCGGCCAGGCCAGCGGAGGGCGAGGCCCGATCGCCGCTGCTCCAGGGAGGCCACTGGACGCCCAGCCGCCGCGCCTCTTTACCGCGCGGTCCCAGCTGCGCAGCGCAGCCGGGCGTCACCACGGGGCGGCGCGGAGGACCGCCCGCCTCCGCCGCCTCCCGAGTTGGTCCGGCCGTGCTTCGGTGGCCGAGCCCCGGCCTTGCGGCGACCTACGCTGCCCACCGGAGGGCTCCGATGTTTAGGGACTGGTTGCGGAGGTCTCCCCTCGGTTGCTCTTAGGGGACGAGGCTGTCCCTTCCCTGTAATGTGGGGTGGGGCATTAGGCTGCTCAGACCTGGCCTCTTGTGGTGGCCTGCAAGGGACTCGAGAAGACCCGCTCTGGTGTGTTCTGGGCACCCGACTTGCACCCACAATGGGCGGCCCTGCTGGATGGGGCCCTGGGCTTGTCCCCAAAGGCCTGACAGAATGGCAGACGGGCACCAGCCAGGCGGTCCCTTTTAAGAGAGGAGAGACGCTATCTCGAGGTCACCTCCCCAGAGCTGAGGAAGCCCACCAGGGTCCTCCTGGGTGGAGTGGAGCCGCTTTGCTCTGCCCTGCAGGCAGGAAGGTTTGGGGTGGTGTGGGGGCATTTGCTTGAGCCAGGAGCCTCTTCACCAGGATCCCTCCTTCTAATGCAGGGGTGTAAAACTCGATTTCATGGATGGTGATGTTTGACCTGGAGAGGGGCGGGGGGGGGGACGTGGCCAGGGTGGATGTGGCCAGCTCGACATGTGGGGAGGTGCCATTTTCACTGGCAGAGGGTTGTAGGAGGCCGTGGCAACCGAAAACAGAGCTTGGCAGCCTGTTTTCACTGGCAGAAGAACCGCAGGCCAGTCCTTTGCTATTTCCAGGGCGGCCCCACAGGCCAGATCTAAGCATATCTGCCCCGCCCCCCTCTCCCTTGAGTTTGACACTGCTGTTCTAATGGAACTGGGTGCTGGCAGGCATTGCCACTCCCACCAGCTCATCCTGCAGAAGGCAGGAGCGGCACCTTGGCAACACTCTTTGTGGACAGGGGTGGGGTGGGTGGTGGTCCTGTGTGGGAAGTACACCAAAAAGTTAACTGCACAGAATTAAGACACTGGTGGAAGCATCTGAATCTATTTATTTATTAGTTCGATTTATATGCCGCCCTTCTCCGGAGACTCAGGGGCGGCTTACAATGCGTTAAGCAATAGCCTTCATACTTTTGTATATACCAGCTTAGTAGGGTTTTTGCCCCCCGCCCCAGCAGTGTTCTTTTTTATACAAAGTCAGCTTATTGCCCCCACAATCTGGGTCCTCATTTTACCTACCTCGAAAAGATGGAAGGCTGAGTCAACCTTGAGCCTAGTGAGATTTGAACTTGCAGTAATTGCAGGCAGCTGGCAACTAAGTGCTACTTTAACTGCACTTAGTCCACTGCGCCACCAAGGCTCCAAGAATCCAGCCAAATGTGCTTGCATACCTAAAGAGAAAGCCATCCAAAGGCCACTTACTCAGGGGCAGAACCTCCCCGCAAACTCTTTTCCTGCCCTTCCCTTGTGATGTTGCCTCCACCCCATTTTACAAATGCACAAGCTGTCCTTGTTTTTTGTACCAGTGAAAGGGGGTCTTACTCCTCAGTCGCTGGCATGAACTACTGGAAGCCCCCTCCAGCTGTGCTCTGCCTGGTAGGCTTTCCCATCCATGAGGGACAATAAGGGGTACAGGAAGATGCCCCTTTCATGGCGCCAGAGTGGTTTTCTGTTTGCTTCTAGGACCCTTCAATTCAGGAGTGGAAAGAGCCAAAGAAGGTGCAGAGCCCCCTCCCAAGATCCACGGACCATTCTATTGCCATTATGAAGTGCTGGCCTGCCACTCAAACATTTCTTTGCAGAGGAATGTCACCCCCACTAGACAAGACTTTTTGCAGCCTGCTCAAGTAGCAGAGGCTCTCTGGAGGTTTCCTCCCACATGCTCAAAATGTTTTCAGGTCTATGCTTCAATTAGAGGGATCCTCTCCCCGCTCCCCTTTATTAAAGATTGGATTCACATTTGCTGGTCCTTTTCCTTGCTCTGCAGACACTTTAGAGCTACCTGGCAGAGGTCCTAATACAGGTGGTCCTTGCTTAATGACCATAATTGGACCTGGCAACCCCAGTGCCAAGTGGAGCGGTTATTAGGCAAAACATCACTCACAACCATGCTGACTTAACAATGGCAGTTCCAGCAGTCCTGGTAGTGGTTATTAAACAAATCACCAGCAGTCCTTAAGCAAGGAATCGCATGACCCCCTGCCAACTTTCCCATTGACTTTGCTTGTCAGAAGTTGCCTGGGGAGGTCGCAAATGGTGATCACCTGACTAGGAGACGCTGCAACAGTTGTAAGCGTGATGAGTGGAAAGTCACTTTTTTTCAATGCTCTTATAACTTCAATAAATAAATAGTTGTTAAGCGAAAACTACCTATAGCTCCTCAGCCTTCATCCAGGCCTGGGAACTCGAAGCTTAGCCAAAAGGTTCCTTCCCCTTCCTGTGATATTCAAATCAGCTTCCTCTGGATCAAAAGAGGGCTGGGGTTTTATTTATTTAGATAAATCCCACCTTTATTATTTTCATAAATTAACTCAAGGCATCTTCCTCCTCCTAATTTCCCCAGAATCACCACCCTGTGAGGTGAGTTGGGCTGAGAGAGTTTGAGTGGCCCACAGTCACCCAGCTGGCTTTCATGCCTAAAATGGGACTAGAATCACCTTATTCTCCAAAGCACCTGAGAGCAGGATAAAAAGCAATGAGCGCAAACTCCTTAAAGAGATATCCAAACTGGAACTAAGAAGTTTCCTGACAATTAGAATCACCAGTGGAATGGCTTGCCTCCAGAAGTTGTCTGGTCTCCATCGCTGGAGGTTTTCAAGAATAGTTTGGGCAGCCATTTGACTGGGATGGTATAAGGACCATGCGGGAAAAGGCAGAAGGGCAGAGGGGGAGATGAGCTAAGCAGCGAGAGGGCCTCACCCCCGCCTTGAAAGAGGCGGTGGTGAGGCCTCTCCTCAAGAAGCCGTCCCTGGATCCGGCAATATTGGCCAACTATCGTCCTGTCTCCAACCTTCGCTTCATGGCGAAGGTTGTTGAGAGTGTGGTGGCGCGACAGTTTCCACAATTCCTGGAGGAAACATCTTATCTAGATCCGTTCCAGTCGGGTTTCAGGTCTGGGCACAGCACGGAAACGGCATTGGTCGCGTTGGTTGATGATCTCTGGAGGGCTCGGGACAGGGGTTGCTCCTCTGTTCTGGTCCTGTTAGACCTCTCACCGGCTTTTGATACCATCGACCATGGTATCATGCTGCACCGGCTGGAAGAGTTGGGGGTGGGAGGCACCGTATTGCGGTGGTTCTCCTCCTTTCTCTCCGACCGGTCGCAGTTTGTGTTGGCAGGGGGGCAGAGGTCGACCTCGAGGCCTCTCGTCTGTGAAGTGCCGCAGGGATCGGTCCTCTCGCCCCTTCTGTTCAACATTTATGTGAAGCCGCTGGGCGAGATCATCCGTGGCTTCGGGGTGAGATACCATCAGTACGCTGATGACACCCAGCTGTACATCTCCACCCCAGGCCACCCCAACGATGCCCTTGAAGTGATGTCTCAGTGCCTGGAGGTTGTGCGGATCTGGATGGGGAGGAACAGGCTCAAGCTCAACCCTTCCAAGACTGAGTGGCTGTGGCTCCCGGCATAGTCAGTTGACTCCATCACTGACTATTGGGGGCGAGTCCTTGGCCCCCACAGAAAGGGCTCGCAATCTGGGAGTCCTCCTGGATATGCAGCTGTCCTTGGAGGAACATCTGACGGCTGTAACCAGGGGGACTTTTTATCAGGTTCGCCTGATTCGCCAGTTGCGGCCCTTTCTTGATCGGGATTCCCTGTGCACAGTCACTCACGCCCTCGTCACCTCTCGCCTTGACTACTGCAATGCTCTCTACATGGGGCTCCCCTTGAGGGGCACCCGGAGGCTCCAGCTGGTCCAGAACGCAGCAGCGCGGGTAGTGATGGGAGCAGCATGGCGCTCCCATGTAACACCGCTCCTGCGCGAGCTGCACTGGCTCCCGGTGGTCTTCCGGGTGCGCTTCAAGGTGTTGGTTATCACCTTTAAAGCTCTCCATGGCATAGGGCCTAGCTATCTTCGAGACCGCCTGCTGCTACCGACAACCTCCCAGCGACCTGTGCGCTCCCACAGAGAGGGCCTCCTCGGGGTGCCATCAGCCAGACAATGTAGGCTGGTGACCCCCAGGGGGAGAGCCTTCTCTGTGGGGGCACCTACCCTCTGGAATCAGCTGCCCCCAGAGATAAGGAGAATCCAAGACCTCAGTGCCTTCTGCCGTGCCCTTAAAACCCACTTTTTCCAGCAAGCCGGGCTGGCTTAGGAAGAAATTTTTTTTAAAATTTTTAAATGTTTAATTGGTTTGTGGTTTTTTAAATTTTGGGCCAAATTTATATAGATTTTAATTGTTTTTAATTTTTGTATTTCATGTTTTTAATTCTGGCTGTGCACCGCCCTGAGTCCTCAGGGAGAAGGGCGGTATATAAATTGAAAAATAAAATAAAATAAAATAAATAAAATCCAGTGAGATGCCAGCAGCAGGAGAGAGGAGGAAAAGCAGGCAGTGGTCGAGTAGTGAAGAGACCAATGTCAGCATTCCAGAAAACCCCAACTCCAACTAAAAACTCTTGAGGCAAGCATTTTCCAAATGGCTTCCAGAGCTGACAACCAGGAGAAGGTGAGATTCATTCCAGTTGATTGTTCTCACTGACAGAAAATTTCTCCTTATTTCCAGGTTGCTTCTCTCCTTGATCAGTTTCCTGTCTGGCCTTTGGGTGCTTTGGAGAATAGCTTGACCCCCTCCTCTCTGTGGCAGCCCCTCAAATATTGGAAGACTGCTATCATATGCTATTAACCCTGGTCCTTCTCTTCACTAGACTAGCCATGCCCAGTTCCTGCAACTGTTCATGGTATGTTTTATCCTCCAGTCCCCTAATCATCCTGGTTGCTCTTCTCTTCTCTTTTTCTAGAGTCTCAACATCTTTTTTAT